ATCCCCAAATATTATAAGAGGGGCATTGAAGTCAAACCAGGACTTTTGAGTTTATATAATAAAAGACCAAATTTCAAGGCATGGAAACCGCATTTATTTTTCAACACACTCCCCTATTACATTTATACACTTGTCCCAGCATTTAACTAATGCCTGAAAAGTTTCAGCATAGAAAGATTTGTAGTACATCTGAATCATTCTAGAACACCCTGCTTCACTTTGTCATCATTGTGTTCACTGTTCCCACAGAAAGATTAATCTCTTGTGCAATTTCACGACAGGTTATGCGTCAGTTATCCAGGATCAGGCATTCCATGTGCTGAATGTTCACAGAAATGACTGCTTTGGGCTGGAAACCACTGGCTGGGATCATCACTGACAGACATACGGCCATTTTTGAAACTTTTACACCATTCAAATGTCTTACTGCAGCTGTGCGTCTCATCACCCTACTGTTCTTGAAGTCTTATGTAGATATCCATGGGATTTATGCCTTCGTTCACAAGAAACTTCATCACCACACTGTTATGCCAGGCAACACCTGGACAATTAATTTAGTCAGCAAAAATGTCTCCAAATATAAAAATAATTTATAAAAATAATTTAACTGACTTAGTTAAATTTTAGCTAAACAAAATTCTTTAAGAACATAAACAAGATCTGAGTGAGTACGGAATAGAGATTATTAAATAAATTGATATTTATTTACATAAGTAATTTACAAACATATAATACAATAGCCCGATTGTGATGTACATAGACACCAAGATAATTTGCATGAAAGTTCCTAAATTGTACGTAACAATAGATTACATATATATTTTAGACAAAATAACCAAGGATAACTAATTATCAGACAACAGTCTGTTTTAGCAGAATTAAACTGTTATTTCCTTTTAGAAGCAATAAGCATCAAACTATACAAAACTGTATACCAATATGGGCCAAGAACAGAAATGTTCATGTTATGTTAATTTAGGTGAGCAGAATGACCAGAAAATAATTACCCTCCAAATATCAGGTAACCTTTTAGATGACTATGGCTGCCGATTAATGAGTGGAGTTGAGCTTTCCCCAAAATGGTGTCTAGCTTGGTTGGAGCTGTGTATTCTGGCTCACTGAGGTGTCAGGTGATGTACAGTATATCAATTGTTTCTTGCGGGAGCCCTCCAGTGTGTTCAAATGATTTCTAGATGATCACCTTAGATGGTCTAGTTGTCCTGAGTGTGATTGTGATCCCCTCTGTCTACTTGACTTGCTCTTTTATTTAATGGCCCACAACACATTCATAAAATTTTATTAACCTGGCCCAGAAGGTGGCACCTTCTTCCTATTGGTAAATTAATTTATTAACCAAACCCATGTTTATTTTTGCATTACCACCCTTTTGACCACTGAGTGTCACGCTCGGATAAGTCATGACCATTTTGAGTTTAACTGGAAACTGAAGTAACTAATCTGTGATAGGGAAACAAATGACAAAATGCTCATCGCTTCAGGTTTCTTTTACCCCAAAGATGATTGGGGATGTTCCAGTCATGGGACTTTCAGTGGGACAGGAGAACCTGGAAAGGCAGCGGAAGGTAACGGGAGAGGGACTCCTACCACGACACGTGAAAGCAATCCAGTGGTCAGGTGAAAAAAAGATACTGGGATTATGCGTGTAGCTGCAGACATCATCCCGGTATAACCACTGAAACTCTAGGACATCATATAATGGCCTACGGGTGAGAAGTGGTTAATTATATTAACTCTGCCAAAAGATAACTCAAGCAGCCTACAAAAGAAGACTTTTAATATTTACCCCTTTGATGGGTTGCAAGTTCTCATTTTGCTTTCTTCAAGAACTACAGCCACCAGCAGAATCTTCAGCATCCAACCCTTTCAAGTGTGTTAGATGCCTGGTCCTCCACTGTGTAGTTTAGTATATCCATCCAACTTCTATGTCATTAGAGTCTGGCAGATGGAGCCCCAGTGCATAGCAATGGAGGCGCAAGATTCCAACAAATCCATAAGTGTCACATGTGGAACATTCTCTCAAAAGGTGGAAACGTTTTCATAAGAACATGCAAAGGTGATTTCAAGCAAATATTTATTACTAGAGATCCTTAGGATTTGTGGGTTAACAAACTGTGAACATTTGGCTGAAATTTTCACAGGTTCCTAGCCAGATAAAATGAACAATCAATAATGCAGTGCACAGCTTTTGTCTGGTTAGCTGAGTCCCAAGAGGCATTAATTTAAAAGAATGGATAACCCAGTACCCCTTCTAAAAAAGGATGGGCTCCCAGCAACCATGTATTCAGTGTGTGTGTTGGCGGTGATAGGGAGTGCTGACAATTCTGTGTATTTATTTATTTGTTTTCTTTTTTTTTTGCAATGCTCCATGGCCTCGTGGCATTGCCTGGCTTCCCATGTCCTTTCTTTGACAACAGCATGCATATTAGTCCTGCAAATGACCAGGATAGAATAACAAGATTCATCCCCATAGACTTCTTTGGTGTTTGCCAAAAAGTATGCAAATGTAAAACTTCAAACACTATTCACAGACTAAACCCAGGCAGATTTGTTCATCCCTTCTAATTACTTGTTGTGTTTTGTATGCAACAGGTAAGGACACCTAGGTTTTCCCTGGACCTTTGATAATAGGGAAGATTTCAAATGTAGTACCAGTTGATAAGTGATAATATGGAGACATAAAACCTATGTCAAAAGAAATATGCAGGGTGTCAGATTCCTGTCATTCTGATCCAGTAGGTTGAATACTTTCTGAAACAATATGCAATCAAGAATGTCAGAATGAAGTCAAAACTCATGATTTGTATAGTATAATAAAGTTCAATCAAGAGAAAGAAGAAAGAAATGAATAAGTTACAATTGCCAAGCTCCTCCTGAAAATGCCAGTCAGCTGGTTGTTATCCTAATGCATTACCTTAAAGTGTATATGAACCCTAACAATAAACTTTTTTCTTATTTGATCAACTTGGTCTATTAAATATGCCATTTAATGCACTTCATTACATCTGTTTGATGAGCGCAAAAAATAAATAAATGAAAAAATATATAAATTATATAAATATATACTGTATATACACACACTATATTTCCAAAAGTATTGGAAACCCCTCCAAATCATTGGATTCCGGTGTTCCAATCACCTCCATGGCCACAAGTGTATACAATCAAGCACCTAGGCATGCAGGCTGCTTCTACAAACATTTGTGAAAGAATGGGTCACTCTCAGGAGCTCAGTGACTCCAAGCATGGTACCGTGATAGGTTGCCACCTGTGCAATAGGTCCACCCATGAAATTTCCTTGCTACTAAATATTCCATAGTCAACTGTTAGCAATATTACAACAAAGTGGAAGCAGCTGGAAACAACAGCAACTCAGCCACAAAGTGTAAAATGACAGAGTGCACAGTGCTCAGAAGTCACCAACTGTCTGCAGAGTCATAGCTAAAGACCTCCAAACTTCATGTGCCCTTCAGATTAGCACAATAACAGTGCATAGAGAGCTTCATGGAATGGGTTTCCATAGCTGAACAGCTGCATCCAAGCCTTACATCACCAAGTGCAAACATCAGATGCAGTGGTGCAAAGCACGCCACCACTGGAATCTAGGAATTCTCTGGAGTGACAAATCATGCTTCTCTGTCTGGAAATCTGATGAACGTGTCTGGGTTTGGCGGTTGCCAGGAGAATGGTACTTGCCTGACTGCATTGTTCCTAGTGCAAAGTTTGGTGTAGGGGGGATGGGGTTGTTTTTCAGGGGTTGGGCTCGGCCCATTAGTTACAGTGAAGGGAACTCTTAAGGCATCAGCATACCAAGACATTTTGGAAAATGTCATGCTTCCAACTGTGTGGGAACAGTTTGGGCATGGCCCCTTCTTGTTCCAACATGACTGCTCACCAGTGCACAAAGCAAAAGCCATAAAGACATGGATGAATGAGTTTGAGGTACAGGAACTTGACTGGCCTGCACAGAGTCCTGACCTCAACTCGACAGAACACCTTTGGGATGAACCAGTCCTTCTCATCCAACATCAGTGTCTGGCCTCACAAATGTGCTTCTGGAAGAATGGTCAAACATTCCCATAGACACAATCCTAAACCTTGTGGACAGAAAAGTTGAAGCTGTTATAGCTGCAAAGGGTGGGCCATCTCAACATTGAACCCTACGGACTAAGGCTGGGAACCCATTAAAGTTCATGTGCGTGTAAAGGCAGGCCGACCAATAGGTTTGGCAATATAGTGTACATATCACCAGGATTATCAGGTGAAAATTAATTCAGCCATCACATCTAATGATTGGTAAGTTCATATATTTTTGGTTGTTTTTAGGTTTAGACACAATGTAAGAGCTTTTTATTGGCAGATCTGATTTTGCATGACCAGAAACAACCCCTGAGCTGGGAAAGATTCAGCATATCCATTGGCCACAGCAGGGCCAGTAACATATATGTGGGTATCACAAGGAAGAAATTTCACAAGCACACCAAAGTTATCCAGTATGGATCCAAAGGCTTTAATAAGTAATCTCATAGTTACAGCAAGCAGGAACGGCCCACCTTTACCTTGTTTACATTGCAGAGTGCTGATTTGAACACTTAATAGGCAGATACTCGAAGGGCAAAACCATGCATGTGACCACATATTATACCCCTCATGTACAACATGATTTATTTAGTTGATCTCTGTTTTCAGTGTGTTCTTCATGGCAATAAGCAACAATGTTGTTTACATTTTGAATATGGCGGGAATATGACGTTTTAGGGGTGGGACATAGCCTATCCTGTTTGCACTGATTGGTGAATGGTTTCTTTAAATAGTTTCTATATGTTAACACGCTCTTGCTGTAAATATGTGATTGCTTTTTAAAGCCTTTGGATCCATATTGGAGAACTTTGGTGTTCTGGTGACATTTCTCCCTTGTGATGCTTCTTGGTTCCAGACGAAGGTCACTGCAGCACCCACTTACACGTATATCCATTATTTGGTGCAGAAAAGTGTGGGTTGGGGTTTTGGAATTGTGTATGTGTGTATACCACATTCTTCAGTAGGGGTGTCACCAGGGGCGGACTGACAACTCATGGGGCGCCTGGGCAATAGGGGATCATGGGGCCCCTGTGTCCTTGCCCAAACTCAAAAAAGCCTATGAAAAAGGTACTAGGGGCATTTCATGGGGCCCCCTACTGACCCCGGTCCCTCGGGCAGTGCCCGAGTTTCCAAATGGTCAGTACGCCCCTGGGTATCACAGTGGGTGGAGTGAGTCCAAAATTTGCACCAAGATCTTTATATTTGCTACCACAATGTGCCCAACAAGCCGAGCAAGTTATAAAAAATAAGACATGCTGAAAGTGACCAGACATCTGTAGAAATAAGAAAACTGGACAAAGGGTCAGATAAAAAAGATGAGAACATCTACATGCCTCAGCATGAAAGCTTTGTAAAGCTTCACTCGCTCATCTTCCATTTTGTCAAGGAACATTGAAAACAAAACCCAACATTTCAAAGTAACAAAAACAAATAACAGAAAGATGTACATGAGCTGCCTGCTGGACTTTAAAAGCAGAGGAGGGAGAAAAGAGAAATTAATTGCGGTCACTGTACCACAATGAGAAAAGGGAATATTTCAATTTTACAGACTACTCAAAGAAAGAACGTTGGTTTCAGATTCTTAGAAAATAAAAAAGAAACGATCTGGAGGAGAATTGACAGTCTCTCTTTGTCGAGCGCCACAACCGGTTGCAATGCCTTTGCTTTCAGCTTATTCTTATGGGCAGCATAAATCCAGCCCAGCTTGCTATTCATCTTCCCAGGAGTTAGCACTTACACAAAGGAAATGCCGCATATCATAGTGGAGTTAAGGGATTTGACTTGTCTTGAGCACTGATTGATCAGGGAGCTTTGAAGACAATAAATTTTATCCTTTTTTTCTTTTCTTGTTTCTGCAAAATAACATGTTAAAACTATAGCCATATATTTGCTGTAGATGTGTGTGCCCTCAAGCTTTACTCCTTGAAAAGTATAGGGTGGTGCTCTTTGAGCTAAAATCTACCAGGACGCCCTGGGTCAGATATGGACTAGTTGTCAACAACTGTGTTATTGGCTGTACATGTTTGTGTCATTAGTTGAGCACATTTGTAACATGTTGTCACATAGGGTAACTGTCAAAGCTAAAAGAAGAGTTGAGTAAATAAATGGAAAAGCACAGTTTGGCAAGTTTTCATTCGTGTAACTATGCTGAGTACCTAATGGATTGATGTGTCACAGCTGACATGCTTGGCTATAGAAGGGTTGCTGTACTTAATGCCTAACTCCACACAAAATCTATTTTGATACTTACCTCCAACCCCCTTCTGACAAACCTTGCTATGTGTACCTTCATTGTGGAGCTGGGCATTATAGGGGTTGTAAAGGCTCCATGCATGAAGTAAAAAAAAAATCTTTTGTATACAGCAGCCCTCCCTAGCCCCGCAATACTCACCTATTGCAATCTAGCAACGTGCACAAGAGCCTTGGCTCTTCAGGGGCTATCCCTCCTCATCGGCTAATACAGAAGTGGGAGACTTTGATGGGGCTGAGCCACAGCTCTGTGTATGAATAGACTCAGAGCAGTGGCTTTGGAGCAAGCCTGCTTTGGTGCCCCCTCAGCAAGCAGCTTGCTCTGGGGGCACTTGGCAGGAGGGAGGGGCCAAGAGAGCCGGCAGAGGACTGTGAGAAGAGGAAGTTCAGGGATACTCTGTGCAAAACCACGTTACAGAGCAGGTAAGTATGACATGTTTGTTTTTTTATTGGTTTTAATATCACTTTAACTGTAATCATAAGCTGGTGAAGGTCTACCATGAGTTTCATATTACCAGTAATTTCTAGTACGTATCTGTCTAGGTTGTAAAAAAAACTGTCAAGTTTCAATTTACTGGAAAACTTGTAATTTCTAAGGAATGTGAGTGTCTTATCAGCTAGTTTCAGTCTCACTACGTAAGCACTCACTAAGTTAACCTATGACTGGCTAGTGCCTAAGTCACCATCTTAGAGCTAGTTCACGCCTGGGGGAGTAACCCAACATATTTGGTGGCAGCAGTGGGATACCCACTAGCAGTGACTACGTTGTTTTCTGGCTGCTTGCTGCATCTGGGGATCACTAGAAATTTGGGAGCACTTTCCTTTGCACTTAGGGAGAACGGTGCTTTGTTCACTAAGGTAGGGAGTATGTGCTGAGGTAGTGTAAGTAAGGGAAATTGATTTTGCTGTGCTTCTGCTTGATTGGTGAACTCTTTGTGATGGGTATACTATTATTGTAATTGGTAAGCATTTGTGCAGACTACCCTATCTTGTCCTTCTCCAGGCAGAAAAAAAGTTTAAAGCAGAAGTAAAGGCTGGTGTGGCCAGCCTACTTGCAAAAAAATACACAGTTACCTCTAGTTGTACTCTCTTCCAGCAATGTGAAGTTGGAGCTCCCTGCATCCACTGCTACTTACATTATCTCGACTCCTGATTCCATTTCTGGCACTCATTCATTTTACAGATTAAACACATTTTATAGCAGTGGTGTCACTATTGGGGTGGACCCGACCCAGGTGACACCCGCTAGAGGGGTGACACCAAAAGATGACATCTGTCTGGGTCTCTGTGATGGGGGAGGTCCCCATGCAGGCGTTTCACTCTTCTGCTTGCATTGTTTTGTTTCTCTACCTGAGTCCCCAGTGCGGGGTGAGATGATTTGCATCAGGGCAACTGTTTGCTGTGAGTGGGGAGATATGTGCCAGCCAGCTCAGTGCAGATACCCAGCCACAGGGCTCTCCTCCTCTGCCAGCTGAGCATATGACCTGTCTGAAGTGTGAGTGGCACAGAGCCGGTGCATAAAGTCTGCAGTGCGAACATCGACCGCTGGGTGTGTTCAGAGCTGAGAACCCTTCCTTTCCTCCTCACATCTCTTTACTTTCCTCCAGTTGGACACTAACAAGCTCTCCAGTGCAGGACTGTTCATTCTTGTCTTTCCAGAGACATCAGTCTAGTTCCCATTGCAGTCCCATCCTAGCATAATTACTACATTGTCCAGTGCTCACTTGTGAAACGTTCCAAGAATTTCAGCCACAGAAATAAGCTGTATGAATACAGTGTGTCCTCAGTAGCCTGTATATGAGATATTCTTCTCTATTTGTGGGGTGCCTGTGAATTGCTTTGAATTTTTTCAATTTGAAATTTTTTGTAATCAAAAGGTGTTTGAAAGGGTTGTAGAATGCACAGTGGCGCTTTGTGAACAGTTTGGATGGGGCTGGGTTTAATAGAGCTGATTAAGGTTTTTGGAGGTCCACTGCTCTACTGACATGCCCACTGCTCTACTGACACTGTCCACTGCTCTACTTACACTGTCCACTGCTCTACTGACATCATCCACTGCTCTATTGACACTGTCCACTGCCCTACTGACACCATCCACTGCTCTTCTGACATGTTCACTGCTCTACTGACACAGCTCACTGCTCTACTGACACTGTCCACTGCTCTACTGGCATTATCTACTACTCTACTGACATGTCCACTGCCCTACTGACACCATCCACTGCTCTACTTACACCATCCACTGCCCTACTGACACCATCCTCTGCTCTACTAACAAAAAAAAGGAGAGAACACCTGGAGGAGAGACTTGTGGGGTTGAGGGTAAGAGAATATGTACTTGGGGAATGCTTTGGGAGGGGAGAAAACTTGTGCTAAAAGGGGAAGTTTATTTAAAATTCCCCTCTACTAACAAGTCCTCTCACCTCCCAAAGCCCCCCCCCCCCCCCCGTACATATCAGCTCTCCCACCTCACCTTCTATCACAAGTCCTCTCCTATCCCAAAGTACCCTCCCATCACATATCCAAAACCTGGATTTTGTTGCACCATGACCTTTCAGCCCCTCCCAATGTAACATTTGACCACACAAAGGACCCTACCTTCTAGGAAATTTTTGTTTTTAGGATCTACTTTTACAGTACTTAAACCAGCATGTGGGGTAGGGGGTCTGTGCAGTATTGCTTCATAAATGCCTTTGTGCCTTGTCCCGAGAGCCAAAAGTTTCTCAGGTTATGTCCTTGCTAAAAAAAATCTGACTTCTAAGAATTCTAAGATGAACTGGAAAAGTCCTAACAATGCCATATGTCCTTGTCTTACAACTGATGTCTTCACAAGGGCTATAGCATTCTTCTGACCACTAGAGCTGGCAGGGGTGGAAAATGGATCACTTGCATCACTTCTACAATCCTTCTCCCCAAGCAGTGTAGATAGGGTTATCCTGTTAGTCAAACACCAATGGGGAAAAGGGCTGATTAGCATTAAGGAGGAGGTTGCTTTGGCAGTGGCAATTCTGAGAACCTTCCTCCTCTACATACATAGAAATGCAGCACTAAACAGAATTGCAATGCTGCAGTGATTTTACTGCAGGAAATTCTGTGTTGTCACCAGGGGCGGACTGACAACTCATGGGGCCCCCGGGCAATAGGGGATCATGGGGCCCCTGTGTCCTTGCCCAAACTCAAAAAAGCCTATGAAAAAGGTACCAGGGGCATCTCATGGAGCCCCCTACTGACTCCGGCCCTCAATAGGGGATCATGGGACCCCTGTGTCCTTGCCCAAGCTCAAAAACGTCTATGAAAAAGGTACCAGGGGCATCTCCTGGGGCCCCTACTGACCCCAGGCCCTCGGGCAGTGCCTGAGTTTCCAAATGGTCAGTCCGCCCCCTGGTTGTCAACCCAGTGAAGGAAGGCCCATAAGCCTATAATTCTCAGTGCATTTCCCCAACTAGTAGAAAAGGTCTGTGGCATACATTCAAGCTAGCCGGTGAAAAAAAAACGAATCTTTTTAAACTGAGCAACACTCCCAAAATACTACAAGGTCAACTACTATTGCAACCTTTACAACCCTTGTTTTTTTGCCTCAAGGCTATTTTGTTCTTCTCAAACACTTAGACTGTCGTATCTACTTCTTACTCCCATAATGCTTTGCATGGCTGACTTTGTGCAATATCAAATATCTTTACATTGCC